GAGATGTCCAGGAAGAGTACCAGTGAGGGTCCAGTGTCAATGGTGTAGCAGACCAGGGACCTGGAACCAGACCAATGATTCTTTGCCATGAATGCTTGCATGTAAAAATGTATAGATACAGGGGTTTACTGTGTGAATCACTGTATCACACTGTAGCTTCCATGATGAGACTTTCCCTTTCTTCTTTTATTCTCTTAAATTGTTTTTGTTTTGTTTGTTTGTTTTGAGGTGGGAAGGAGATAGGTAGGATCAGGAGACATGATGTGAAAGACACAAAGAATAAATAAAGAGAAAGTTAAAAAAAAAACTATCCTAAATCCAGAACTATAGCTTCAAATCTACAGATAAATATTATGATTTCACAGGATTAAAATGGCCTTTCATTAAACCTATCATCTAAGTATCACTCTGCACAATTACCAAGGTAAAGTGATTTCCGAATTAAATTCTTTTAGATATAAACACTTTATACTATTATCAACCACAAACAAAATCATGAGGTGCTTTATGAAACAGAAAATTATTTCATGGTTGTTCAGCATTTAAGAGAAATAGTATAGAAATGTGTTGAACCCTATCTTGCTTTCTCTAAGTGTTCTTTTCACAAGGTGATATCAAATGCAATACATGATGCAACGTGGCTTCACAACTGGTTTATTTATGCTAGCTTTGATCACCCAAGTTACAAGAACATCACAAAAGAACAGCAGTAGTCACTTGAGCATTGCAAGTTCAATATACAGAAATAACGATGGGAGCAATGCCTTCTATTTTGTATTTTCATAGATTTTATGATGGTAATATTCTGTTAGATCCACAAATTTGTGACATTTTTCTCTCTGTGACACAACAGAAAATACTTTGAAAGCCATTACAAACACTCTAATCCAATAGCATCTCAAATTTCAAGTCATTACATTTTTATCTTGAAGTATTTCTCCCACAGGTTGCATATATGTTCCTATATTCAGCACCTTACAAAAACATCACCCTTGCCTCCCCTCCCATTTTTCTCTCTCCTACTTTAAAATAATTTCTTCTTTTATGCTGGTTAATTCTGAAGTCTCTATGTCTATTGTGTCTGCTTCATTGATGGAAAAAAAAGTAGAGTGTATAAGTAAAATAAATTGGGTAAGATAATATATAGTGTTTTAATAACATCATCGGTGAAAGCAGTTGCACTGCTTACAACTGGCCAAAATAATTGCTCAGTATTTTGCTCAATTTCCATTTTTTGCCCAGTGAGTATGAGCTTCAATTTGTCAGTCTGTTGCTTTTGCTCCAAGGCAGTCTGATTAAAGCCCATTTGTCCTTTGTAGCACCAGTGAGTGCTCTCACTTTCAGTAAGTTGCAAGATGTTCCAGGCTCATCTTACCTTCTCCAGCCCCAAGGCTTGGTACCAGCTATCCTCCAAGGAGCCCTGGTTCCTATTCATAGCAGGATAGTATAAGGAGCCAACACCTGGGCGCCAGATAGAGCACTGACTTTTCAAAATGCAACTGGTTTTGGGTCAGTTGATCACAAAGACTGCTTAGGCTATTGCAACAAGAGAGCAAAAAACTTTCAGGGCACAAACTCACTTTTTCCAAATTATTCCAAAGTAACATTTCCAGATCTTATTTTAAGAACAATAATATTTCATACTAAACTATGTATTGTCAATACCCAATTAAGACACTCAGATTTTACTGTTGATAGTTGCTTAGAAGTTTCCAGTTTGTCCTTCTTTATGGTCCTTCATCCTTGAATCCAGAATCTTGTTGTAAATGATAAAAGTTCAAGATGTGCCAGGATCAGAAAGTCTAATTCTGTGTAAAAGCATGTATATATATGTATAACCTAAAATAGTCAAAATCACTGAAATAGAGTGTGATGGTACTTATTCAAACTAGGGGTGGGGAAATGGGGAAATATTGGTCAAAGGAGAAATAATTCCCTTGAACGAAAGAAAAAGAGATTTGAGATTCATTTTAAGGCACTACAGTTAAAAATTATGTAATGAATGAACTGGCTTTTTGGAGCCCATTACCTATGGTGGGTTGTCTCGTCCAATCTGATTCAGTTGGGGGGAAGGCTTTGGTTCTGCCTCAATTCTGTATCCCAGACTTTGGCGACTCCCCAAGAGAGGCCTTATTCCCTCTGACAGTAGATGGGGGTGGGATAGGTGGAGGAAGGGAGGTGGGTGAAGTGGAGGGAGGGAGGGAGAACTGGTGTTGGGATGCAAAAAAAAAGAAATCAATAAAAATTATACAAGGGTGCATCCTTTTCATCTCAGTACTCAGGAGGTAGGGGCATGTGGATCTCTGTGAATTTGAGGTCAGTAAGTTCCAGGACATTCAGGGGATACATATATTCTGTATGTATATATCATACATTTCAAACTTGCAAATGGTAGATAGTAATAACAGAATCAAAATCAACTATAAGTAATTAAATATATGGAAACAATCACATTGGGCACATAAATAAACATAGGGGCCCAAGAAGTGGCTCAGCAGTTAGGTGTACTTGCTTCTCTTCCAGAGGAACAAAGTTGCCAATACCCACTTCACAGGCTCATGGATGTGTGTAACTCAGGCTTCAAGGGATATAGCATCATCTTCTAGCTTCTGTAGGCACTGCAGCCACATGCACAAAACCATACATAAGTATACACATATACAATGTATTTAAAATTTTAGTTAGAAAAAGCTAAGGTTCAAATGTTCTTTTATTATACAATTATCTACCTTATTTGAATTCTGAAAGGAAAATCAGTATGACTTTCTGTTCAATGTAGAAAACTAAAATAATACAGTATTTAGAATATATTCACACATCATATACACAGAGAGGAGAGAAGAAAAAGTCCACTGCTTATCCCAAAATAAAAATTTAAATGACATCCCTGGACATTATCAGGGAATCTTATGTCCAGAGAAATAAGGGAAATAAAAATCTGGAAACAGATAGAACACTGCTTAATATATATGAATTGAAGGCAAAATATGAAAATCGCTGGCTTCTAAGGCTTTTTCAAATGGTCTTAATTTGCATTTTCATAGGCCCAATAGAGTTTTATGTGACTTTATTTGAGCCCATGCACAGAGGTATTTTTCTAGTCTGTTTTACTGCTGTATTTATTTATTTCGCCCACGGGTGGGATTGAGCAGTGAACATTAAGTCTTCAGTAGCTCTTAGATATATATAGAGCAGCTCTATTGCCAGAGTGCTATATTACTTCAAAATATCAGGAAATATAATAAAACTTCTACCAATAATCAACAAGAAAATTTTACCATCATAAACTGTAAACTTCTTACAGACAGTAAATTCTTGTGGATTAATTACTATAAATTTTCACAAGCTTCTTTTGTGTGGTGCTGGAGGACAAGCTTGGGTCTTTATATATAACAGCATTTGCACTCCCATGGAGCCACATTCCCAGCTTCATACCTTAAATTTTTTGGTGTGGTATAAAGGTAAAACAGATAATTGTAAATTCTACTTGTTCTAAATCATTTGTGTTATATTACATGCTGCACAAAAATCATATACTTGGAATTATTTATATATCAGAAAAATACTTCCTTTTTAAAATAAACACAAAATATCTTGATATGTTAACAGAATTCTAGTACATGGATTAAAATATACCATGCCTGATCCATGCATTTTACATTCGCTGGTAATTGCACAGCTACCACAGTCACAGCATACTCACATTTCAAAATGTTACTCACACCAGAGTTTAAAATTTTAACGAAGCAAACCCTCACCAAAGTACTAGTGTTTTAGTTTAGAATGCTAAATCAAAATCCAAGACTGGAGCAAAAGTGAACATAGTAACACTAAAACATCAAATCACCATTTTTATGGGTGAAAGAAAAGGCACCCCTGGGATGGAGAGATAGATGGTCCAGCTGTTAAAGGCTAGGCTCACAAAAGGAAACAAAAATCACACTTGATGGAAAATCCTCACTTTTAAACATTACACACAGACATACAAGAAATGAATGCCCTGTAAAATGAATAGCTGACTAAGAAAATGTAAAGGTAAGCTTCAAAAAAGGACACAGAATGGAAAACAAAAAGCTAATGTAAAACTGTATCTGTAATAGTAATGGCAAATAAAAGCAGCACTTGGGAAAAATAACAAAACAAAATAAATCCTCTAAAAAAAAAACCAGAATAACCACCAAATTAGTATATAATATCAAAGAAAGTTTTGGAATAAAAAATGTAAATATACACTTTATAAAAATAAAAGTGAACAAATATAATGATATTTTTGGCATTACATATGAGACTTTCTTATTTTTGCTTCTTTGCTGTTACTTATCATTCAATTTTACTATAGGAATAAATGAATAAATTCTAATAAAATCACACAAGCACAAATTAAAATACTAAAATAGCTTCTGAGAAGTTGAATTGGCATTTCCTATGGATTCCTGAGTCCCTCGGAATTTTCCAAAAATAATTTTTAAAAATCAGCTTCCTGAGGAGGGAGTGATAACCAGTGAAGACATAAAACAGTAAAAATAAAAATAAACATAAAAAACAAAAAACAGATTTCTAAGATTCATAAACAATTTAGTTTCACTCTAGAAATGACAGTGGCATGTTTCTGTCTCAGTCCACCCAGCACAAGGAGTCTAGCAAAATAGGTATGTAAAACCTGTTCCAGATTGTTGATATTCCTGTGAATTTTAGTCTGTTATTTATGTTTTTTTTTCTGTACTCTCTGTCTTTTCTTGAACCAATAACTTAAAGCTTTAAATTATAAACAATTTAAAACAATTTTGTTTTCACAAGTATACTACTAAATAGAACTACATTCAAGGTGTCTTGGAAAACTAAAAAAAAAAAAAAATAAAAACAAACTATATTCAAAGTTCTTTATGTAGCCAAAATCATTGTTAGAAGTAAACAGAAAGTTTGCTTTCTTGTCCTTATGCAGTAATAGTCAAGAAATGTTCAGTAGCAGAAAATCAACTCAAGAGTATAAATTCCTTAAATCACCGATATCTCCAACTGTGTAAAAAGTCTTCAATTGCCTTTGTTGTCTGGAACTGCTTACATCTGAAACATACATTTCGCCATGAGAAATTCATCACATTACACTCATCACAATACCAATCCCCAGCTCTGCCAGCGATGCCACGTTTTTTGTACTGGGAAGGATTAGACCTTTGTTTGAACTTCTCAGGAAGGATCTTCCTGGAGTGGCGTTGCCTACCTCTCCATCTAGCTGGAGAACAGAGTACAGGAGGAACCATGGGAGTTTGTTCTCCTTCTGCTGCCGCCACATGGGAAACAAACCGAGGTTGGACTGAGTTAGAGGACAAACTAAGGGGTTTCAGTGGACGAGTCTGAGACCAAGCCTTCTGCATTTCAGGGTCAGAAGGATTGTCTGCCTCATTTCTATTTGCTTTTACAGAAACCTTGTTTTTCTGTACAGAAGGAACTGTAGCAGCGGCAGCAGCAACAGCGTCTTGGCCTGATTCCTTCAGTGCCTCTGTCTCGGTCAAGGTACCTTCCCCATCTCCATCAAGCACGTTTTTTAATGGATGTGTATCATCCCCCTGCTCCTCTTTCTTCCCTTCCTGATTTTTATACTCAGTGCTTTCCTCACTAACAGAGTTACTTGGGAGAACATCTTGCTTTTCTTCTACTCTATTAAGGTCTCTAAATCCTTTCTGGAGTTGGAACTCAGCCACACCCTTTTCCGTTTGATGTTTAACCCTCTGTTTTTGTATCATCCCTAACAAGGCGTTAATCAACAGCCGTTGTTCATCCAATTGATCCTGCATCATCTTTACCTTTTCTCTGTGTTCCTTCTCCTTCCTCTCAGCCAAGCCCACCGCCAGCGCCAGGGCACTCCAGGCGCAAGACTTCTTGACCGTTCTTGGCATTGTCGAGTCAGTCACGATGTCCTGTAGCTCCCTTTCCAAATCGCCCCAGGACTCACACAACTGCATCCTATTGAAGCATCTACTAGACCCATGTTTAGCTATTTGTTCATTTAGAAAAGCCGCAACTTCCCTGTGGTAGAAACCACAGGCTGGATCACTAAAATTAATAGCCATTCTGCGCGTCGTCCACCCACCTTTTCTCCTCAGAGCAGTAACAGCATAGAGTGTGAACTTTGAACTCTTGGGTTCCGCTCGCCTACTCTTACGATAGTCAAACGCCACCTAGTGGTCCGACGGTTTAATTGATAATCCCAACAAGGTTTAAGGTCGATGAACTTAGCCCCTAGAAGGAACATAACACAGAATTAAAACCTAAAACAAACAATCAAACACAATGAATAATCGTATGCTAGTTACTCAGCTGGGTAGTAGAAATAGATGATACATATTTAATAAATATTTATTTAATTGAATTGGCTACTATTTATTTGAATTTTGATTCAGTATTTGATAAAGTCAAATAATTTTTAATGTAGCAAAAACACAAATGTCTTCAACCATTTATCTTTAAGTATCACTTATCTAAGCATAAGAAAATATAAAAATATAAACATTGTACTCCAATATTTTATTACAGAATCGTCATAAACATGGAACTACAGAAGTCATATACAGTAATATGATATATTTATACTATGAAAATTCAAAATAGAATTATATTTATATTAATCTGTAAAATAGGTTTCAAAGAATGTAAGATTTTTAGAGGATCACAGTGTGATGAAATCTATGGAAAATGACGTAAAATACATATTTTATTGTATATTTTCTTCAAGGTTAAAAGGATATACACTTAAGCATAAAACACTTTTAAGTAGATATAAAAGATAAAATAAATTCATGAAGGTTCCTGCATCTGCATGGAAAGGAAGGAAATGAATTTCGAGGTAGGCAAAAACAACCTAAATTTGATTATTTGGCCCTTCATTATGAAAACATATTTTCCCAAGGAGCACATGGAATTTTGGTTCTTTTTAAATTCTTTCAAATCTATTTTAAAGAGAAAGTATAAGTGAACAGAACTTTGAAGCGGCTTTGGTGGGCTCCTGGCATCAGTCGGATAGGTCAGTATCAGATCAGTAGGGGGCAGTAGCTGGCACAAGGCAACAGACACAAGAGACAAGCTAGGCTCCACCAAGCACTCAGTGGCTGGTCAATGTTGAGTGCTTGGCTGTGGAAAAAGCTAGAAAGAATGGCCACAAAGTGAAAGTAAAGGTATGTTCACTCCTACAGAGCCCTACAGAGCCAGTCTGCGGATTCCTGAGAGCTCACATCCAAATGCTTGAAGGCACCCTCTCGTGGAGGTGTGGGGTGGGGTCAGTACCATGGCTGGCACCTACAGGACAAGAATTTTGGAGCATCTCCCAGCTGAGGCGCTGGAGAACTATCTGTAAGAAATGGTGAGGAATGCTTCCTAGTTTTTGCTGTAAGGCTATCACTACATGGCACTAGGGAACCGTAGTGACATATAAATGAATTTTCTTATAAATTGTGGTGGCATTAACCTTATATCCACAAAATGTCTGACATTTTATATGTGTATCTTATGATATATGTATACATATATATGATATTAATGTATAATGTGTATATAACAACAATTGAAGAAAAAATTAATTTGAGAAACAGAAAGGTAGGGAACCTGGGAGAGGTTGGGGGAGGAAAAAGAAGGGAAGAAATGCTATAATTGTACTTTTTAAATAATCTAAAATAAATAAGAGTTTTACCATGAAATAGAGGAGGAGGAAGAAGAGGAGGGAATAGCAGAAAACCTCTTAGCTTGTTTTAGCTAGCCTTCTTTCCTGTTAGTGCATTGTAACTGAGGTTCTCCTCTCTTTCCCTCTCCCCCCCCCCGTGAGCATTTCCATAATGGAATTCTTATAAACTATTTTTGGTGTATTCCTCTTTGCCCCAGTTTTTCCTGTTCCCTATTCTGCACCCTACCTTTGGTCAAGTAGAATATTTTTTTTAATTCAAATTTGGAGGGAGGAAAAGAGGAGACAAGGACATAATGATATTAGAACATCTAAAAATTAAAAGAAATAATTTTTTGAGAGTCAAATGGAAAAGCATAGTCACTGGAGTAAACATGACAAAGGAAACATGCAAGTTTTTACACTTAAAGTTTGAAAAAAAATTAAAGATGCCTTTTCATGTGACAGTGGGTACGTTCTGACTACCTAGGTTTATCCTGATGTGTCTTCATGAAAATGAAATTTTTTTCAACAGTTTATAAAAATTAATTTGTCCTATGCTGGTTTCCCTGAATGTGGTGTTAGTTAGGAGGCCTGTACAGTTGATGATCCTCTGGTCAGTATTTATCCCTAGTATAGGAATGGACTTTGGGAGCCCATTCCACATAGAGGGATACTCCCTCAGCCTAGGCCCTGCCCCAAATGATATGACAGACTTTGAAGAACCCTATGGAAGGCCTCACCCTCCCCGGGGAGCAGAAAGGGGATGGGATGGGAGTTGGGTGGGGGGAACAGGGGAGGATGGGAGGGTGCGGGAACTGGGATTGATGTGTAAAACAATCTTGTTTCAAATTTAAATAAAAATTATTAAAAAATAATTTGTCTTTTTTCTTAGATATTAAATGGAAACTATTTTGCTTAAACATTGAAAACTTAAAATCTCATGTTATTCAGAATAATCACAAACTTCTACTTTTGCCTCTGCCTCCCAAATGTGAGATTCAAGTTGTGGACCCTCTACACAGCCAGATATGACTTTATTTTTAAGTGTGATAGTTGCTATTATCTTTCTAACTATAAATATTTACCATAGAAGACAAGTATGGCAATGCTTATGGCAATAATACTGATTATATTCAGTTCTGGAAATAAAGGTGTCCACCAGTATGCCCAGCTGAAACTATAATGTCATCAAAAATTATACTGTTACATTGATTCCTAGAGGCTATTAATAGGCTATTAATTTGTAGTGGTACACCATTATTTTATCACATATCAGTAATAAAATTAAACAGTAATAAATGATATTTGCCAGAAAATACATTTTCACATCAAAGATGTTAGAATACAGACATATGTGCATTTGCCTGTATGTAACAAATCTGTTTTAATGATCAACACATTTTGCCCCCACTTAAAAATTTTTTATTATCATTTTTAAAATTATGTGTATATGAAAGTTCTGCCTGCCTATAGGTCTGGGCACCATGTGTGTATCTTGTGCTCACAGAAGATATAAGAAGGCATTGTCTCCATTGGTACTGGTTATAAGTTGCCATGTGGGTGTCAGGAATCAATCCTGGGTCCTCTGGAATAACAGTAAATGTTGCAAACTGCTGAGCCATCTCTCTAGCCCTTTAGCCACACTTTATAGAAGTAGCATTTCCAAAAAGCACACATCAGAGTTTGGAAAGAAACCTACACCCTCCTGAATCCCAACTCCACAATCCTACTTAGACTTGTTGGATTTACCAGCCTTTCTTGCTCTGGAAATAAGATTGCTACTTTTGCTGTCTTTTATTGTTATAATAAATAATTTTCAGCAATTTGTACAATCTATGAAAATTACTTTTCTTTGTCATTTTCTAAGTAATTTATAATGTTTAAGTTAATGTCCCCATTGGTAGTCCAACAAAAATTTTATTTTTTCTTTGTAGAAGTCTGCATGAAAGAAGGAATTTTTTAAACATAACTCACATGGAAAGTAGTATTTTACTATGAAATCCTCACCAATACAGAGGATTTATATACTAGTGTGCTCACACTCCACATTAAACACCTTCAAGAGAATTCTTACTGTCAATACTTTACCTATATCTCCATATACCTGCCAACAGTGCATGTATTTGAGTCATCACAGACATATAATAGGTGTTTATATTTTAAAGCATTATACTTTTGTCTTTTAAAATGGATGTATTTCATTCCTTTTATGCATAAGTACTTGGCTTGCTTATATATGAACACCATGTAAATGCCTGATGCCCATGGATTCCCCTGAAGTTTTAATTATTCATTGTTGTGAGCCATCTCTCCAGGCTAATTCCATTGTCTTAGAACACACTTGGACAGTTTGTTTTCATGCTTTCATTTTTAAACATAATTATTTATTTTTTGGGAATTTCATATAATGCATCCCAACTCCACTGACCTCCCAGTACCTCCATATCTGCCCTTTACCCCTGAAACATGTCCCCCAAAAGAAATGCCCCAGAAAATTATAAAGTTTTTTGTTTGTTTGTTTGTTTTTCAAGACAGGTTTCTTTTTCTTTCTTTCATATTTTAAGAATTCTTTTAAATTTCATTTTACATTCCCACCACAGTTCTCCCTCCCACCTTTCCTCCCACTCCCCTTCAACTCCCCCTCAGCTCACCTTCAGTTCACTCCTCCTCATGGGCTAGGGCTCCAATGAGGATTCAACAAAGTCTGATACAATAGGTTGGGGTAGGGCTAAGCCCTCTCCCATGCATTAAGGTTGAGAATGGCATCCCACCACAGGGAATGGGCTCCAACAAGCTAGCTCATGTACCAGATTTTTATTACGGTCCTACTGCCAGGAAACTCTCAGAGAGTCCAAGCTTCACAATAGTCAAGACAGGGTTTCTCTGTGTAGCTCTGGAGCCTGTCCTGGAACTCACATTGTTGACTAAGCCGGCCTTGAACTCACAGAGATCCACCTCCCTCTGCCTTCCTAGTGCTGGGATTAAAGGTGTACACCACCACTGCCAAGCTTCCTCCAGAAAATTAAATGCTAAACCAAACCAGACCAAAACACTACCTTGCTCTTCTATCTTTCCAACACTTCTTTATTCATCCTAACGGCACTGGGTGCTGCGATGTGTCATATAGTATACCCTTTTGTCCCCTCAGCCCCACCCACAAATTGTTCATTGCAAAGATTAATGGACTGGTTCAAGGCACACCATCATCACTGGAATCAAAACGAAACTCCTCTCTGATATCCTTCTGTTGCCCAACTCATGGAGATTTTGTGGTTATCATTCTTCAGGACCAGTTCCTTCATGGGTCATAGATAAGGTAGATGTTAGGATGGGCCAACCCAAGGCCAGAATATATTTCTGGGTTACAGCTGAGCTGGGTGGCCTAAGCCACTTGGACTGGCCCCTTCAGGTGAGGGG